GTCAGGACCGCATTTCTGGTACAATATGGCTGCAAGCACCGTGCTGCCATTAGTTGTTAGTTGGGTCGCGTTTTGTGAGAGATCGAGCACCTCAACGTAAAACTTCCGAAATGGACCTACTTGTTGCAAATATTCGTTGTTCCATCTGTTTTTCGCCACCAAATTTACCGCCGCCAAACCAAATTGTGTCATTTTTGGAATATGCAGCTGTACGGTAGCTGAACCTTTCTTCAAAGGTACGGTAGCGACTTCACCACCTTCCGTTACCGCTTCACGGCAGAATGTTCTGGAATTCAGAAAGAAGGATTTAGACACAAAAGCTGTGAAAAAGATTTGACATACGCGAATGGACAATGGTGTACGGTAATGGTTCCATTGAAGGCGGAATCGGAATCGTTTCCTTGTTGGGTAATTTCTACCATAATTGGAGCTTGGAATTTGTCTGGATTATGGTATTCGACAACAATGGTGTAGTCATAATCCTCTGGGACGTCGATGTTTGCCTGGAAAAATAGGATACGGTAGAAAAGTGGGGTGTACTGTAGATTACCCACCTCAATCACTTTCTTATCCTCTCCAGCTTGGACGTAAGCTGCAGGGCCAATTATTTCGGGTAAGATTTCCACGGGTACCTAAACGGAGGAGTGTTAAAAAATCAGTAAAGGCTGAATATAAAATACTGCTATTATTATATGGAAGGTTAAATGAAAAATCGATAAAACCTAAAAAAAGATATTGCTATTAATATGTGGAAAACTGATTTCTTATATCATTATCTTACATTATTTGGAAAATAACTAATTATTCCCTGCATTTTGAGACCTTGCTAAAGCAAAAATACTTTATTACCCCTTTTCAGAGATACAATAATTTTTTACTACTTGCAAAAATCAATTCGATTTTTACCAATTCTTTCTACCATTTTTTCGAAATTGTCATTACTTTCAGACTGAAAATTCTCATAATCAGCATAATCTGTCCCGCCCTCCCTGATTAGCAGTTCTCCTTTTTTATTTGGTTTGAATAAATCTCCTCT